CCCCCCTCCCCCAGCCGGCGGCCCTGCGGGGCCAGCCGCAGGACGCGCTGGGCCTGCAGCAGGGAGGGATACGAGAGAGGGCAGGGTGGGAGGGGGTGGTGGCACCCACCCAGTGCTCCCCTTGCCCACAGGCTGCCGGCCTCACCTTCTCCACCACCCGTGCCAGCGCCTTCAGGGCGGCGCCGCTCTGCGCCGTGAGCCTGGCCAGGCTGCCGTGGGCCTGAGCCCTGGCCTGGTTCATCTTGCTCTTGAGCTCCTGGAGCTGCCTGAGGACCCTTTCCTTCTCCTCCCGCACACGCCGATTCTGCTCTTTGCTCTCCCGGAGGTGAGTCGCGATCCGGCCCTTGGTGGCTGTGACCGAGTCCTGGGGACAGGTGAAACGTGAGCAGCGGGACAGCGGCATCTCCGCTCCCACGGCCGCCCCTGTACCCTGCCGCAACCTGGAGCTTTTGCAGCCTCTTCGCCTGTGTCTCTATCTCCCTGGAGCTCTTCTTGTCCTTCTGCTTCAGCACCTCAAAAGCGATCCTCTGGTGCTCCGTGGCCTCTGTGTAGCTCTGCATGGCCTGCTGGAACTGCTCCCAGAGCTCCTCCACCTTCCCACCCAGCTGCATGTGGCTGTACTGCTGCTCCTGCAGGCTCTGGGGACAGACGTGGATGTGGGTGACCCAAACCTCGTCGTGTGCTCTGCTCGCAAGCCCTAAAAGGCTCCTTGCTGGTTCCTCCCCATGCCTTGTTTTTGATGTCATCTCGGGTGCTCTGGAAATTCAGCGTGGCCTCATGGACGTTCTTGGCGTAATTCTGCTCCATGGCCAGCGCCATGTTCTGCAGGTAGCAGTTTTCTTGCTCGTGCTGCTGAAGGATGGTCGTCCTGAGGAAAACATGGGGGAGCTGCTGACAGAGGGAAGCCACAGCGGTCCTGAGCGGGCCGTGAAAGGGCTCAGCATCTGGACAGGATAGCCAGTGGGTGCTACTGCTGTCCTTCCCCGTACCTCTCAGCCTCAAACTCCGTCTTCAGGGCCTCCAGCTGGGCACCGTACCCCTCCTCCAGGCACGTCAGGCGGCAGCGCTGGAGCTGCAGCAGGCGGTCGATGTTGTGCAGGTGGCTGCGCAGGGCCCGGGCGTGCTGCTCCTCCGCCTCCTCCAGGTCTGTGACCAGGGACTGTGGAGGTTGGGGGGGGTCACAGGTGGGCTTCAGCGCCACCCCTGCCCT